AGACAAACAACATTACTCTTCTTGGTAATTTTGCAGATGAAGCTTGAAGTTGAATCTTTAACTTTGAATAACATTGCTTCACTCCACAATTCCGCCAACCTCCATTTGATATCGTCGTTGAAGCGCTATTCCATCCATCCTCCAACTTGTTGTTTGTCTACAATGAATAGATAACACAAGCACTAGACAAACAACATTAGTTGTAAATTATTTGTTAAACATCATCAAAATAAGAAGGCCAACAACAGAAACCCAAATAAACCAGTAAACCATCAATGAGTCGACTTACCTGTTAGTATTAGTCGGCTCATGTCATATGGGTCGACTCATGACAGTCATGAGTCGACTAGTCAGAAACTATGTCAACACCTGCTGGGCTTCGTGAGTTGACTCATGACAGTCATGAATCAACTCATGATACATGGGTCGACTCATACAGTGATGAGTCGACTGGTCAGAGAATTTTTCTAAAACGGTTGAGTTTCATGAGTCGACTTATGACAGACATTAGTTGACTGAACCTGATGAGTCGACTCACGATTGTTATGAGTCGACTCACGAGCTAAAAACTGAATGCTTCGATTCTCTGATTCGCCATCTTGGTCCATGCTTCAACCTGCGTTCCACTATGCTGTTTTACACCTCTATTCTCAAGCTACCATGAGAATCATCTATCCTCAAGCTCCTATGAGGATCGAGTTCCAAAGAGAAGATACACCCATATCATGGGTCCCCTATTTAGGAACTTGAAGTCTCGTTCAAGTTAGAACTTCAGCTGAGGAAACTCGTGAGCTCCTCCTTCCCTATTGAACCACTTAGCCTTACTGGGAACCTAACCTTGGCATCCAACAAGATACGACTCCTTCATCCCCCGCCTCGTCGTGGTCATCTTCCGCTCCAGAATACAATCTTCTTTCAGTGGCTCTTTTCTATCAAACCACAAGTCTTCAACATACGGTAAGATTACCTTGTCGTCACATTCGTCATCTAGCAATGGAGGCTCGAACAACTTCAAATACTCGGCATTGATTACCGAATACATGCCTAAGTAAGGTGGTAAATCCAGTCTAAAAGCGTTGTCACCAATTTGATCGATAATCTGGAATGGACCATATCATATAGGTTTCAACTTTTTCCCTTCTCCCTTTAGCCTCTCCTTACTCAATTTCAGCTATACCATGTCGCCTATGCCAAAATTACAAGGAACCCGATGTTGATCATGTTTCGCCTTGTACTTGGCTTGTGATTTCTTCAATTGAGCTTCAATCGCGGCATGAATGTGTGCAATCTTCTTCAGAAATCGATGAGCACGTTGCCTCTCACTCCCCTCCTTGCTGTCAACTGTGATTTCACACAAAAATACAAGATCGAACGGACTTGGCAGTAAGAATCCATAACACGTCTCAAACGGTGACTTTCCCGAAGATCCATGAATAGCCCGATTAAAAGCAAACTATAGATATGTTAAACTCCCATCTCAAGTCTTGGGATGCCTGGAATTGTATCCTCTCAACATGTGCACCATAGTCCGATTGACTATCTCCGTTTGTCCGTTAGTTTGTGGAAGGAATATCGTGCTCTTCTTTAACCTAGTATCCATCAAGTTCCACAAAGAATCCCAAAAATACCCGAGAAACCGGCTATCTCGATCCAAAATAATCAAACTCGGTAACCCAAAGTGTTTCCACACATGTTCAAAGAACAATTGTGCTGCACCTGCTCCCGTCACAGTCTTCTTACATGGAATCAAAAACACCATCTTACTAAATCGGTCCACCACAACGAACAAATAATCATTTCCGCGCTTGGTCGTCGGCAATCCTCCTAAGAAATCCATAGAAATACTCTCCCAAGGTCTCGAAAGTACCGGTAATGGTAAATACAATCCCCGTTTCCTGTTAGAAGGCTTCGATATGCAACATAGCTTACATCCCCAACATACTTAGTGACATCCTCCAACATCTTCGGACAAAAGACATGGCACCGTAGATTGAGAAGCATCTTCTGAATGCCAAAATGACCTTGCACACGTGATGTATGTGCTTCTCTAATCCACTGCAATCGGTCGCCATCCTCCAGAATGCAAAGCGACGTCCCATGATACAACAAACCATCCTCACCAATCACATACTCCCCCTTTCGACCCACTTTTGCTTGCTCGAACACACTGCTGAAGTCTCTGCTGGATGTGTACATCTGCACATACTCCAAAGGAACCAAGGGCTGAATGCGTGTCACCACCAAAAGAGCTCTCACGGGTGGGCGAGATAATATATCGACTAACTTATTCGTCGTCCCCTTCTTATACCTAATAATAATGTTGAATGCCATCAAATAGGACATCCACTTCATGTGCCGAGCCTGCTGTAGCTTCGTCTGGGCATGTAGAAATTCCAATGGTTTGTGATCTGAGTGCACAACAACCTCTTTACCCAACAAATACACTCGCCAATGCTTGATAGCCTGATAAAGTGCATAAAACTCATTGTCGTAGGTAGAGTGGTTCTGAATAGCACCCGTAAACATCTCTGAATGATACTCCACCGGCTTCCCATCCTAAATTAACACAACACCCATAACTAGAAGCATCGGTCTCTACCTCAAAGGTCCGTTATAGATTCGACAATGCCAATACTGGTGCCTCTGAGATCTCCCTCTTTAGCAACTAAAAAGCCTCCTCATGCGTCTTTCCCCACTCGAACTGAACCTTAGCCTTCGTAAGGCCATGCAATGGTGCTGCATACGTCAAAAAATGTCGAATGAACTTGCGCAAATACTAGCAAGCCCCCATGAAGCTTCTCACCTCAGTCATTGTCCTGGGTGTCGGCCACTTCGTGATCACCGCCACCTTGCCTGGATCTATCTTCTACTGGCCTTTCCCCACGATGAACCCGAGATACACTAACTCGTCCTTCCCAAATTCGCACTTCTTCCCATTTATCTTTAGCTGTCCATTCTGCAATACTTCAAACACCTTCTTAACATGAACGAGATGCTCCTTCCAGGTCCTGCTGTACACCAAGATATCATCAATGTAAACTATCATAAAATCCTCTATAAAAGGTTGCAACAAATCATTCATAAGTCTCATAAAGGTAGTCGGAGCGTTGCACAATCCAAACGACATCACCGACCACTCGAACAGGCCCTGCTTGGTCATAAATGCAGTCTTCCAAGTGTCATCCTCCCGAATTCTCACCTGATGGTAACCAGACTTCAAATCTAGCTTCGTGAAAAACCTCGCTCCCTCCAACTAGTCCATCAGATCGTCAATCCGAGGTAATGGGTAGCGATTCTTGATGGTTATCTTGTTGAACATCTGGTAATCCACGCACATGCGCGAGTCTCCATCCTTTTTAGGTACCAACAAAACTAGCGACCCACAAAACGAACAACTCGGCACAATCACTCATGTCTCCAAAAGCTCCTGAACCTGCCTGTTGATCTCCTCGCACTCCTCTGTCGATGTGCGGTATAGACCTATATTCGGCAAAGAACTCTCACCAGTCAACATAATCTCATGCTCCACACCCCGACGTGGTGGCAGTCCCGTGATCTCTGAAAACAAGTCCACGTACTTGGCTTTCAACCTGTCAAGATCTCCCTCCTGAAGCTTGCTCAAGATGGTCAAGCACACCTTACTCAGCTGCTCCTCATAAGGCCTAATGAATAAGAGTACGAACTTCTTGCTCGCGTTCACCAGCCTCTTCGCCCGAGTCACCGTCACCAAGCTGGTCTCCTGTGGAAGAGACGCCGAACGAAAAATGAACTGCCCACCTCCTTGGTAAATGTATACTTCTGGGTCCGCCTATCATAGATGTAAATCTATCCCACAAATAAGGATTGCTCAGTATCACTTGGCAAACATCCAACGGAACGATGTCGCATGTGACCTCGTCGATATACGACTCGTGGAGTGCAAATCTGAAAGTATATTGGTTGATCATACTCAATCCCGCCTCCTTCTGAATCCACCCAAAGGATAGGGTTTCGGATGTTTGATCGTCTTCAATCCCTGCTTCTGAACCAAGACCTCGGATATCAAATTCTTCTGACTCCCTGGATCCACTATAGCATCAACCAAGCTGGTCTTGACCTGCAACTTCAAAACAAAGAGCTGCTCCCTCGTGTCTTCGTCCTCTGTTGTGGCATGCTTCCCCGCCATAAGGTTGAGACTGCCGTTGGATTCTGTCATCCCGAGGACTTCCTTCGGACCCTGCGCTACCACGTATGCCTTATTCTCCTCCTTCTTCTTCAATCCCTTCGGCTTCAGATGAGGATACTTCTCTCAGCAACGATCAGCTATGTGTCCTTCTGAATTTAATATCTTCATATGATATGCGTGATAAATTAACTTATCAAGATGAGTATACTAGATTCTATCTAGATATCCATCATTTCCCTAAATGAAATCTAGTAACCCAAGATCTCAAGTTGTATAGCACTTGTAAAATAATCTTAACCATTATATCAAAGCATATTAAATTATCAAATAAAAAATGACAATATCAACAAGTTTGAGGGACCACGTAACAATTCGAATTCTTTATCTCTTAGGTGACTCGTCCTAGAAAATCCAAATATGGTCTTGTGCTACATATATCGCTATATGCGCTTATGACATACACCCGGAGAATCATTATTCTCGGTAGTCGAGACCAACCACCATATCTCACATATTGGTGTCAAAAATAATAACTAGTTATAACAAAGCCATCATTTACTAGTTATAGGTTAAGAACAAATTTAAGAAACATCTGAATTAGATCATATCTCCACATCACAGTGCATGATCTAATAAAATAATTTCTAAGGATAATATAACAAATATATAAAAGACACTCAAATAATATGTGCAACAATAAAACTTAATTAATATTCAAAATTATTACATAAAAGTGTATTGGATGTTTAATGGCATATAACACTACTCTAGCAAATATATCATATAAGGTTAATAAAATATACTAACTGATAATTTTTCCTATAAATATATGCAGATTGCTCCAAGTACTTCAAAAAATCTCTCTTTCTGTTGGGAGAGATCGGAGGGAACGACTACAACTATCTTTTGTTACTGGGCAGGGTAACAATACAGCAAGTGTACACCTATGTGCCTATGGTTATTCAAGAAGTGGCAGACGCTGCTCAGGTACTAATAAAATTATCTTTTAAATAAATGCCCTATGGTTTACCTGATCTTGCACTTAAGTGACATCTTTTTTCAAATAGAGCAAAAAAATACCCTAAAATAGTTAGGTTTTGTAGATTGTTATCCTAAAGTTCTAAAATGTTGCACGTTAGTGTCCTCTTGTTTACCTAATATTGCATGTAAATGCTGTAAAGTTTGTAAATAATGTCACTTAAATACCCTGAAGTTTCTAATTAAGAGTTTCACTTCAGTACTATTATGTTACATAGAGAAAAGATAACGTCACCTGAGTTTTTTTTAACTATGAGGTATTCATCTGCAACACTTAAATACTTTAGGGTATATTTTTTTGTTCGGTTTGAAACTATAGGGTATTTAAGTGCAAAGTGGGGAAACTATAGGCATTTAAGTACAATTAAGCCCAAATTTTATTTTGATCTTAATTATAAAACATTCCTTAATTTATTCCAACTTTTTTTGACAGATCAACTTCTATAGTTTTGAAATAGCCTTTCCCACTAACCAAGTATTGTTCGTTAATGACCATGTATGCTGTGAGGGGTTAGGTAGTGTAAACCTATCATTAACATGTGAAACGAAAAAAAGGAAGAGCAAACAAAAGAAAAACATACGAAATAAAGTGAATTATTCAATCTTAGTTTGTCAAATAAAAAAATTAGTTAGAAAGAATTTACCCCTAAAAGGTAGAGGTCTACAAATTGACTCATTAACTATAGAAATTAACACTTTGAAATCTAATTCTTTTATTATTTTATTATGAAGGAAGTCATAGTAATCCTCTAAACCTCTCTTTTTCTCAAATGCCATAGAAGCGATCAAGTACTAAAAAGTAAATCTTACCTTAAAGATTTGTTGAACGGAATCCTAAATTCAGGTTAAGGGATGAGAGTTATATGCTTTATGCTCCATGCTCTTGTGACTTGAACATTTTGTTTATTAGTCAAATTAAACTCGGGCTCTATTTTACGAAATAATATCATTTTTATGTCTCTTCCATCTCATCAAAACTCCAAAGTTTCGACGAGATTTGTGAATTGCAACTCATTTTGATTTGTCAAAACATTTCAGAGACTGATCGAACACGGAGCTGTGAACCTCGTTGTGCCAGGAAATCTACCCATTGGTTGCAACCCACTGTACCTCACAGTTTTGAGGAGTCCCAACCCAGCTGACTATGATGCTATAACTGGCTGCTTGAAGCCATTGAACCAATTCTCAATGTATCACAATGCATTGCTAATTACAGCCCTAGAGAAACTCCGGTTGAAGAATCCACATGCCAACATTGTCTATGCTGACTACTACAATGCAGCTTTGCAATTGGATTTGTTTCCTTTCAAGTTTGGTGAGTTCATCCCTTTGGTTAAGTATTTATAGATCCTCTTAGTATTGTCTAACTGTGGATAAACCCACTGTGCTCCTATTGTAGCAGGTAGACCCCTTGGATTCTCAACTCAAGTTTTTCCATTTAATTAGTTACATGTAATTAATGCTCATTATGAAAGTTCATAGTTAGTAAATCAGTATATGGAGCTCATATGTTTCAGTTTATGAAGCCTAATCTCATGGAGAAACTAACGGGACCGAGAATCCAAGAGGTCCACTATTTTATGTCTTGCCGCGCACGATTATTATAGAACTTGTAATCTAGGCAGCATTACACCTTATAAAATGATTATAAAAGAAGACATGTATTCATAATAAACTTCAACTTCGTACGTTTTCAGGATTCATTCATGGGCCTCTAATAACTTGTTGCGGGAGTGGGGGCGGCCCATATAATGTGAACGTATCAGCATTCTGCGGTGCACCAGGCTCAAGGCTTTTAGGTGATCCCTCCTCGTATTTGAATTGGGATGGGATTCACTTGACTGAAGCTGGTTATCTTAACATTGCCAATGGTTTGCTGTACGGTCCTTACGCCGATCCACCCATCATTCATTATAACTGAGATCTGATGTGAAACCCTATTACGTACAAATTACGTACAGCACCTTCCATGATTGAACAATAAGGGGTTAATCTGTATCTCAAATTTTCGAATGAATAATTAAGATGCGAAGACTTACATGTACTTTTGTTTGTATGGGGGAAACATTCTCTAGTTAATTTTTATGTTGATAAACTTGTCTTTGGATGATGTTATGTTTTGTATATCGATCTTTTAATTGGTATGGTTGTTGGTATTAATGTCGTGCATGGATATCTCCGAATTACGGTAATTGACTATACAACTCCACCTAATAATATCCGTTAATATATTTTATGAGTGCTTTACATGCTTTGTTAAAGTATGTCTAGTATCCTCCGCCAGAAGCGTCATCGAATTCGAGCCAACATAAACATATAAACCGTTGATGATGCAAAGTCGAAGAACCGAGAATCCAAGTACAACTGCGCGCTTCGGGCCGTCGTCATTGGCTGGAGATCGCCCGATCTTGTATATATGTCAAAGCAGTGTCGGTCAATATTTTTGTAACTGTAGTCTGAGAATTGAGTAATGAGTTTGGATGACCGACCCCTGTCCAACGTAAAATTCGAAGGTTATATCTTGAGCGGGGGACCGTGTATTCTTGTGTTGTTTCTAGATTTGAAATTCTTAATGGCCTAATACATGATATAAATCTGGAATTCATAAGTGACCTCTGCAAGTGAACTGTTGAATTTAATTAGAACATTTTAAAGGATTTATACTATATTTAATAAGAAGCTGTATATTTAATGTGTCCAAGGATTATATGTGTGCCCATTGAGTATGATACATAATTCAAGGATCAAAATCTAAATAATTTACATTAAGTCATTAGGTCCTTGGGCAACCATATTTGTTAGAACGTTGTTCGTGCAGGATTGTTAGAAACATTGTTCGAACAATATCTCTTGTTTGAATAATAACAAACTCTTATAATTAATTTACTACTGAATGTTTTTGTGAGATGATATATTTTAGGTATAAACAGGTACGAGCAAGATGCAGTTGAAAATAATACAAAAATCAATACGAATGTTGATTTCAGCCTTCGAACCATCGATGGTCAAACATCTCATCGATGGTTACAGGAGCTAATCGAAGAAAAAAAAAAGAAGTTGGCACCACCGATGATCTACAGTGACCCCATCGATGGTCATAGGGAACTATCGATGGTTATAAGAGACGACAATTGAAGAAATTTATAAATTAGAACCAGCACCATTGATGGCTACAGTTGAAGCATCGATGATCGCCAAGAGGCCATCGATGGTCGTGATCCACCATCGATGGTTATGACGAAATTTGAAACTTTTCAGGATTTAATCTCAACCGTTCATCGACCCATTTGATCTCCTATTTGCACTCAGATTAGGGTATCTCTTTCTTGTCCTAATAAGGGTCTGTTTAAGGGGAGTTGAAGATTATAATTAACAATAAAGTTTAAGGAGGCAAATACATAAAAAGGAGGGAATCTTTATTCTAGGATTTCAGAGAGAGTTAATCAAATCCCCTGAGCTTCGTTCAGCTTCTTCTTGACACATTTTTCATTGGACTTTGAGTTAGCAAGAAGGAGTGTCCTACGCTTACATCGCTACACCACTTCTTCTTGGATCTTCATTTATTTGAAGAACGGTTTAATAAATGGTTGTAAGATTATTCCTTTTATACTTTAATTATTTTGATTAATTGTATTTCAAACTTGTGTGTTTGATGGCGTGCTCAAGACAGGGTCTTCCTAGCTAGCACTAGGTTTCCTCTAGTCATTATGAAGAGTTAGTTTAGACGACTGCTTTCGAATAGATTTCATGGTGTAGCCTTTGAAGCCTACTAAATAGGGTTGTGATTCAGGTAAATTCTAGTCATAGTAAGAAAAGTCCTCCGTGAAAATAAAAAGTGGATGTAGAATTTTGATCAGAATCACTATAAAAATCTTGTGTGTTTCTATGTTATTTTGCTTTTTATTTTTCACTTATTATATTTTTGCTGTAATTTTTGAGTCTTGTCATAAAATTGTAGCAACATTATTCACCCTCCCTCTAGGCTTGCATCTAAGTTCCATCAAGTGGTATCAGAGTCTTGTTATCCATATTTAGGCATCACAACCTAGGGTAGAGATGTTAAGCCTTATCATCTCTTCAACTTTTTCTGAAGGACACGCAATCAACCATCCCCTATTTTTTGATGGCACCAATTACACATTTTGAAAAACACGCATGAAAATCTTTTTATTATCTTCTTATTTTGATATTTTCAGAGTGTGTTGAAGACGAGTATCATAATCTTCCAAGAATAAAGGAGAAGTTGTTACTGAAATTACTATGGTAAATGGACTCCTCAACATAAAAAAGTTTTTCTTATAATCTGAAAGCTATGAATGATTTATATTACTCTCTTTCTACTGAAGGACTTAATCGTGTCTTTAACTGTACCATTGTGTAGAAAATTTGAAAGATACTGAAAGGTGCTCATGAAGAAACTTTGCAGATAAAGGAAGTTAAGTTTACAATGTTGGTAAGCGAGTATGAAATCTTCAAGATGAAGGCCTTAGAGAGCATACGTGATATGTTCACATGATTAACTGACATCATGAACAAATCAATAGCTTTAGATAAGGAGTACGACAATAAAGAGCTGTGCAGAAAAATACTCCATTCTCTATCTCGGGATTGGGAACCTAAGATAATGGCTATTGAAGAACTTCAAAAAATTTCTAATCTATCTATTGATGATCTTGTAGGCAATTTTACTACATATGAAGTTAGGCTGAAAGAAAGAGAAGATGCCTTAGAGGAAGACTCAACAAAAAAAGTTGTTAGCCTTCAAAGGTAAGAACCCGGTTTAAGAAGAAGAAAATGCTTAGCTCAATTTCTACAGAAGAAAATAGCTAAGATGATCAAATTGTTAAAGGATATAAATCCTTCCTCAATTCAAAGGATGGTCAAAAATTCCTATAAGATAAATGGGATTACTACATAAGCAAGGTAAATAAATATGATGAGAGTAATTCTGATACTGAATTAATTTATTTTCGATGCAGAAAACCCAAACACATGAAGAAGAATTGCCAACTGAATAAAAAGGACTATAAAGGAAAGAGCAAACGTTCCAAAATGACTACTTGAAAGGACTCAGAGAGTAGCTCTAGCGATGATGACAAAGAAGCACACTTATATCTCATGGGAAGATAAACTTCAATTCAGATTCAGAGGTATTTTGAGTGGCTCTGATAGTAAAAGTTCAGACGAAGAGGTATATCTTTCATATAATGATTTATATTCTAAATATAAGGATACATTAGTTCACCTTGAGAAAATTACTAAAAAGTAAGAAGTAACAAAAAGAATAAATACAAACTTGAACAAAGAAAATAGGTTTTTGTCAAAAAAAAAATGGATTTTTCTTCTTCAAATTTGAATTCAGATAATTCATCTCATAATATCACCTCTTTCATGTGCATACAATGTTTTCAGCTACAAAGTCAAATCTCTTGTTTATCTAAGCAAATTGATTGAAAAAGTAAAACTTGTCGATAAGGTAAATGAGTTATTTTGTGAATTATATTCTGAACAAATAAAGTTTGAAACTCGATAACTACTATTATTTCCAAAAATGAACAACTAGAACTCAAAAATATTGGTTCAGAAAAGGTCATGAAGAATTTTTCATTAGACTGAAAATATGTTAACATGGTACTTTCCAATCAATGATTTGTAAAAGTTAAAACTAAACTTGGTAGTTCATATTCTAAAAATATATAAAAGTTTCAACCTTCTTTTGTAAAAGAAAATAATCTTGGTTGTTTTGATTCTATTTTTAATAAAACTTATCATTCTATATGATCATTATGTGGAAAAATTAGACATGTTTCTATGAGCTATCGTATAAGATATAGGATCACAACTGTCAAACAAATTTGGGTATCGAAAGGCCTTATTGCAAACTAACGTAGATTTATGTGGATACCTAGGTCATAATTATTTACTTATCTATAGGTTTGTAAGTCAATTGAGGATTGAGGCAACACGTGATGATTGCTTGTAGGTTTAGATTATCAAAATCTAATTCTTGGTCAGCATGGATATGAGGAGTTATAGATTTGATATATGTTTTATATTATCTTCTCATAATGGTAAGTTTTAGGTATATTCTGTAACCTTTACTTCTTGTATGTATATTTTTGGGTGGTGCATGAGATACTCTGACATGTACTAACTTTAATCTACCTGTATTACATATTAGTTTAGTTATTACCTTTATGCATGCTCACCTGACCTACTACATATACATAATTTTTTTGTTTTTTTGATTTTATCTTATTTTTCTTTTTTTGTTCTTTTTATATCTCAAAAACAAACAAAAAAATCTTTCTTTTGCTTATGAAAAATAAAAAATAAAATAAAAAATTTATTTATTTTTTATTTAAAAAAAACTTTGGACATGCATATGTATATGCTTTCACAAGCTATATTCAGATAAGGTTCTCTGTTGGTATATAGGCGTGAGTTTATCATATTGATTCACATATTTTACACATCTATACATGCTACATGTGCACACAAAGTTATACATATATGATTGATAAACACAATGGTTCACAATATGTTTCATATTAATTTTCACACCTTAGCATTATGCTTATCATGTTTAGTATTGTGAGAAAAAGAATAATTTTTTTATATGTTATTCACTGTAGGCTGTCTAAAAATCACAATAGATAGCTGATCCCCTATCAAACACCGATGATAGAAGTTACAATCTGAGGACTTCTAGAAGGTTATAATTTAAAGACTTTCACGTAGATCGATGAATGTTATAATCTGACGACCTTCGCAACAACTGATGAAAGCTCTAATCAACAGCCTTCACAATCAACATCGGGAGTTACAATCTGACGACTCTCATATTTTCAAGGAGCCAAGATGAAGATTACTGAACAACGGTCTTTGCAACGCTCTACAGAAGAAGTTATAAGTCATTAGCTTCTTCTAAAACGCAGAATTCACCTTCGCGTTTCAGTTCTTGAAACGCAGGCAACCCCCCGTGTTTCCAAGCTTCAACAAGCAAAACGCAGGCGACCCCCGCGTTTCCAAGCTTCAACAAGCAAAACGCAAGCGACCCCCCGTGTTTCCAAGCTTTAACAAGCAAAACACAAGCGGCCCTCGTA